ATTTTTTTATTTATTTACCTTCTTCAAATTTGATTGTTATCACACTGGATGTGATTGGACTCAAAGACCAAGTATTAACTTTGATCATTAGAGGATTAGCATCATCGGCATTCAATTCATCTAATAATATACAATATTTTAATAATTCTTAATCATAATTTTTTCAAAACGAGAATGAAATAAAAAAATACCATTAAAAATAAGGGGTTCTCCAGAAACTAAATAATTTTTTAAAATTTCACTCGATTTGTGATCATCGTGATCAATTTCTTCAAAGTTGGATTCATCGTGAACCAGAACTTGCCATTCTACCTTACCTCGTTTAGGAAGTGATGGCACAGAAACATAAAGAACTGGTGGAATTGACTTGGGTTTCTATGTTCGTAATAAATACGTAAATCATGGATCATTGAGTTCACTTGAAATGTATGTATATATCATTCGTTGACCTTGGGATCTTCTGAATTCCCACAAAACCAATTCCAGGATTTTCTAACAAATCCAAAGGAATCTTTATCATCCACATAACAAATACATAATGCGCTTCTCTTTTTGACATTTAGTTCCAGTGCATTTGCTATTTTTTCGAGATTTCTCAATGAAAGTGCTGTCTGCGATGATATATCTTGTGGAATCGGGAATTCCAACGACGAAGGGATTAATCCTATTTGTCCAGCAATATACGCGTGATTGTTTATCTTCGAGTTTAATTTTTTTTTAAAAAAAAAAAAACAAAAACAGTCAATAATAGTCATTAAATAATGGATCGCAATTGAAGGTCACAAAACAGACAAAAATTTGAAATTTACAATTTTAGCTTGAGAGTACGGCCCAATGTTTGCGGGTGCCCAGTATGACATACTTTGAACGTGCATGGTCTTCATTGGTTTTGTTGAATTGATTTTATTAGCATCTGAGGGTAACTTTGTAGCAGATAAATCAATCTGAATTTTTATCGGTGAAAATAAATTGCTAGCAACGCACGCCCTTATTATTATTATTTCAGACAAATGTTATCATTAATGAATGCAAATAATAGGTATTTAAATATAATACGAAGTGATTATTCTAAAAACTTCATACCTAGTTGGAGGATTGATATCAAAAAAAGTTTTATAAATACCATTCATCTTAGAAAATTCGTTCATATCCTTTATATAAACGTTCATGTTTGTTACATCTGACCAATCCAAACCGAGCTCATACAGTCGTTCTACATTAAAGCGATGAGTTTTTTTAATATTGAGGTTTAGAAGATAATTTAATTAAACTCAGGCATACCTTGGAGGGCCAACATGCAAACACGCGTTTCCTCTTCAATGGAATCAAAAGGTTGTGTGGCCTGAGAATTTTTATAATGATAAGCAGTTGTTCCAGAAATACAAAAATAAGGTGGATTTGAATGTAATGCATAATGATCTGTTTAACTAAAGTATCTTAGACTGATACTCGTAAAGAATTTAACATATACATATATATTGGTTATATAATATAATTACCGTAGTTTAGATCTTCTGGTTCTAGTATACGGTCAATTATAATTGGTGATGGGGGGATCGAACGAGGATTTTCTTCTTTTTCCTATGTATTGATAGAAATCATTTAACAAAAATGCATCAGCTTTAACTGTTAAAGTATAATCTGCAAACATCAACATACCCAACCTTGCGTTGCACTCATAAATTC